TTTTTTTGTGTAAATATTTTTTATATTTAAGTGTGAATTAATATTTTGTTGCATTTTTTTAGTATTTATGTAGATTTAAGATTTAAGACTGAAAAGATATTTTTTTTTTTGTGTAAAAATTTTTTAAATTTAAGTGAATTAATATTTTGTTGCATTTTTTTAGTATTTATGTAGATTTAAGATTTAAGACTGAAAATATATTTTGTTGAATTTGTATATAAATATTTTATTAGTTTTAAGACATAAATGAATTTTGCTAGTGTACCTGAAATCTAGACACACATACTTTATAATAAAACTGCGTTTATAACAAACTCTCTGCTATTCTCATTCTAATAAGGGCAGCTGTATTCGAAATGTTACTGTTTTCAAGTTCTTCTTCGTAACTAACAAGATTCTCCATATCTGGGATCTCCAATGGAATTTGATGTTTGAAAAATATACAAACGTTATGAATAGCACAGCACACATTTACAATTTGTGTTACTTTTTCCGGTGAATAATGTAGTCCTCTCGAGCCAATTATACATCGAAATCGGTTTTTCAAAACACCGAAACATCTCTCAATTACATTACGAGCTTTCGAGTGCTTTGTGTTGTAATTTCTTTGAATTCCATCGGCTGCGCTTCTGAATGGCGTCATCAAGTATGGCTGCAAGGGGTAACCAGAATTTACCTTTTTAAGTTTTAAAACTTACCAAGTAGCCATGTGTTGGTTTTCCCATTGTTATAATCAGATTTTAGCTCCTGCTCTGCGACACTCACATTCCAAACAAATGAGTCATGATTCGCCCCTGGATGCCTAGCGTCAACAAATGTAATGACCATGTTGTGTATATGTATACTTGTAAAGATAGTATATCATTAACCTACCGCCATTACATTAACACTGTAAAAACCCTTGCGGTTGAGGTATAGATGGTGGTTGTCACTTCCTGGCGCCTTAATACGAACGTGTGTTCCATCAACACAACCAATGACCCCAGGTATTCCGTATTTCTCAAAGAAATATTCTTTAACAGCATTTTCCTCATCGTTGTTTCTCCTAAAATTCACCCATTTCTGGCAAAAGTGGTCCTCAAAAATATTTAGGCACTCCTTAATCACTTTGGCTGCAGTTGACTGCCCCATCGACGAAATATTTTTGTTACCAACAGATTTTTGGTAACTGCCGGTGGCCAGAAATCTTAAAAAAGTCGCGAGTTTCAGCTGGTGCGATAGGTGGGTGCTTCTATGTGATGGAGCCATATGCTCTTGTAATTCATTTAAAATGTACTGGAATATTTCCTTGTTGATTCGGAAATTTGCAACAAATCTAAAAAAGAATACATTGTAGCATACAAAAATTATTGGCTAATCTTGAACTTACTCAGTCTCAGGTAGTTCCATTACATTGGTGTGGTCTCGCAATCTCCTCCTCTGTATCCGCCTTTCCCTTTCTTCAGATTCCTCGGCGTCCATTAGCGCTATAGCAGCATACATTTTTTAAAATAGATTTTCCTTATATTCTTTCCGCAACACAACCAAAACACTTTTAAGCAAAACCAAAATGTAAACAATTCCGATGTTGCCCATTTAAAATAAAAAGCATTGAAATAAGCTGAAAATATTAGAAATCTAAGAAAAAATCTTTGAAAGTACATCAAAATTACATCCGGCAACATCATTCAACGTAACCGAGACGATAGCAACGTAATCGACGTAAAGGCAAGACGAAGACGAACGACAGAGTTACAAACTTGCAATCCGTGACGATATCGCCTACAGACGAATCGTTCGTGCGGCCTAACGTTCGAGATACAGAATAAGGCTGAATGTTTCTGCCCACAAGAGTAGAGGGGATGGCAATTACCTCACCTTTGCCAAATTTCATAATATCCTATTTCTCAGCAAAATTAGAGCACATGTCAAGTTTTAGCGAAATTAGCAAGTTAACTATTATTTCCACCTGGCTCCATATGGTCGGAGCTCTGAGCATCGTCCTGCGCGGATAACAATTCTGTACAAAAAAAGTAAACAAAGCCGAATTGGATGTTAAAAGAAAATATTAGAAGAGCCTATTTTCTAAATTTCTATATTTCCTTCAGAAGTTTATACCTGTGTCTTTATAGCGCACTCGCTGAAACTGTATTCAAAAGTAACAAAATTGCTGCTTTAATTCGAAATTTCTTTAATAATAAATTTGCACGGTTCACCGAAATGGAAGGGAGCAATAATTCAAATTTATTAAAATAATAATTATAATTCAAAACGGACGGTATAAAAAAAAACTTATTTTCGCTTCGAGTCAAATGAATGATGTGCTTATACGTGTTTTCAAACCGATTTGAAGAAGAAAAACCGGATTTGAAAGCAAATTCGAGTCAATACACTTTTGAATTTCTGATCGTATTGAAATTTGGTTTACGCATAAGTTTTGAATCACTGCAAACTGGATCAAAACGCTTCATGTGTCGGTATAAAAAAGGGAAATGTTTAATTGTGTTTTAGGCGTAGTACGATGAATTTTGTCAATAATGTGGGAATAGGGCTGTCAACATGAAAAGTTTGAAAAAGGGTTATTTTTGTGGAAGTATAGTGAATTTCAGTGCAGTTAAAGTTTCTGAGGCATCGTTTCCTTTCAGGTCAGAATTGTAAAAATCGACGAAATAGCGGTGTGTCGGACGCGTCACCTTTGTTCCCTGCATTGTGAATCACTGCCAATTGTAGAGCGCGCTCCCGACACAGCGGAACAATGAATAACAGCCCTATTCGCGTGCACTGACATAACTCGCCGCTATAACTATTGTCATGTTTATAATCAATTGTCACGTTTAGGTATGCAGAGGGCAATTTGAAAACTCCAACGGTGACAATTGCTATTATATTTGTGATGACCTATTGCGTACATGACAACGCTAAAACATATGTTAATGCTTTCAGTTTTATTAATTTTGCAGAAAAAAGTTGAAAAATTTTACTAAATGAAAACTGTGAAACCATTTTATTTGCCTAAATACGTGTGTTAAAAAGTTATTATTTGCATATTCATGGAGGAAATAACTATTGTACGCAGCTAGTATTGTCGAGCAAGATGAAATTATACAGAGAAGAAGACTTTTGAGAAAACTCCGAGACAGCAGTTTTTTTGGACGTTTGCAATTCGGGGTGGTCTTCACAAAACTGCAGCTGCTGTTGTGTGGTGCATTCATATTTTCACCTGTTATTACACGAATTCATAATAAAATTAAATAAATTTTCCTATTATAAAATTACTCACTTTTCCGGCATTTCGTAATCCATTTCTGCGGTGTATTTTATTTAAAAGAAATCCCGTCTGTTGCAGTGGCGGTCAAAAAGAACAATTAAAATGTAAACAAGGAACAGCTGTTTCACTATAGAGAAACTTTCGTCGCAGTTGGCAAATAAAACGAGCTTTTCGCTTGTCATTATCGAATGTGCATACCTATGACAACAGGTGATGACACGATAATAACAATTGACGAGTGTGACCACACGCGAATAGGGCTTTAAATGTGCACTTTATAAAACGGACTGTAAAGATACCGTTCAATAAGGCCCTGTCTCCACAGGAAAACACTGATGTCGTGAAAACTATGTCCCAAAATATATTTCCAATGGAGACCGCCTATTTCTCATGTGCTGCAATATATGTCAGCGCTTATTGCTTGACATCTATTGCAGGCAATTCGATAGTTTGACAGCCATATTTTCATTTGAAAGAAAGCGTGCTGATGGTAACATCGATGAAATTTTTATATTAAATCAAAATAAAAGTCTGTTCCTTATTGGATTATTTATGATTACGTTTTAGGAAATTATTCAGCAAGTTTTTTAAAGATTTAAATGTTTTTAAACACCGAAATTGAGAGAATGTTGTCTGGTGGCGTCATGCGGCAAATGCTTATTTCAAGACATCAAAGTGCCCACACACAAAAACTTGCAATCACATTGCTCGTCAAAATGACAGTTGGTAGGCCATCGATGTTTGCCTGTGGAGTTCTGCGGTAAGGAATATTTATATTTTACCCAGTGATGGAAAATTTTGTATACTATTCCCCGATTGCAAATACTAATAAGATATATTCATTTCACTTTTTGAATAAACCCACAAAATCCCTTTCTGATTTCTTTTGTCCTAATATTCGGCTTTGTTTACTTCTCTTCTATTTCTAGAAATGGCGTCTCCGTCGAGAATGCGCAGTCTTGCATTTATCTATCTTGACTATACTCCACGTGTGGCCGGCCGGTTACACGAAAACTAAAGTGGAATACACTACGATATGGCAGCACCATTTGCCGAATATTCCTTGCCGACGTCAAAAGAAACCCGAAGGCATGCGTCAGATTAGAAATCATTTGCAATCGTACTAGTTGGAGCGGGTTTGGAATATTTTCTTCGTGATCTTTGTTTAACATATTTGGTAAATAAAATAAATGAGTAAATAGCAGTTTACCTTTTGCGATGTCCCTAGTTTTGAGGTTATTTGTTGAGTTCAATGTGATTAGGGATAAAGTCAAATGCGGTACATTAGTTTCTAGTTATATATATATATATATATATATATATATATGTGTGTGTGTATGTATATGTATGTATGTACATATATATGAAGACTTCAAATGAAGCTGCAGAATAAGTGCTGTTGAAACATTTACACCCTTAATTCATGAAAAGTAAAGAACCTACATACACATATGCTTTATAAATCGAAAATATGTATTAAAAATTCACTTCATAAGCTTTTAAAATCTAGGTTCTTTATTTGCTACGAATAAAGCCATTTATGGTAGTTTTCAGCGACTATCAAATATAAAGAAATTGTATAATTTACCGAAAAAAAATTTGAATACACGAACTAAATTTGCTCAATTTAGTCCAGAATATCTAGGGTGCTGCGAAACTTGAGAAAGAAAATTAGCGCTGTGCTGACTCACCAGATGAGTTAATTTCCTTTCTGCTCACTCTGTTCCATTCGTGGAATGAATTGAGTTGAGTGAAACGATACGATGACACTTCGGTCGTGGGTTTTCGTTTGTCCACAACGATGGCACCATCACCAAATTGAAAATTTTCATTCAATTTTGTTAGTATTCACTCGCCTGAAGGTTACATTTGTTTGAGCCTGAAAAGGCTGGAGTTCAGCAGGAAATTGGAGGCTCGATATTTGGCCGACAGGTTGTTCCGAGATGTTTCATATAATTATATTTACTCAAATTAATGAAATAATTATACCATGGTATCAATATCGTGCATGAAAAGAAAACGGATATTAATAAAAATAAAGATATTCAATAACCGACAAAGCTTTTATAAATAGAGCACTTTGTGTTTTGTGATTCATACTCTATGTACACCTCAGTAGCATTTATATAAAAATAATCCCTTTTATGGACAAGAATAAATATATATGTATGCGCGTACGTGAATATTATTTATTTTTTGTTTTATATATGTAGATCAAAAATTTATTGATACTAGCAGATATTAATAATTACAGGTAAGGCTAACGTTGAGTATCGCAACAGAAGAATTAAATTGGTACCGTGCTAGTTTATTTTTTGCGAGAAAGTGACGCAAACGACCTTTTGTTGAAAATAAAATAGATACCACTACAGTAAACAACAAAAATACTAAAATGAGCTGGCAAGATTATGTGGACAACCAACTACTGGCCTCGCACTGTGTAACAAAGGCTTGTATTGCTGGACATGATGGCAACATCTGGGCTCAATCCAAGGGATTTGAGGTAAGTTTTTAAACCCAAATAGTTTGAGTTTCCTAACTTGTGTATAATGTCGTTAAATTTTTGAAGTGTACATTAACTTTACTTTGTCCTCAAGGGTGTGACCGGTTAGAAAGCAGGGTGTTAAAATGTAGAGAGGAAAACTGAGATACACACCGAAATATTTAATCGTATAACATGAGTAACGACTCATCGGATAAAACACCCTTGTTGAGTTTATTTTTGTTCCTTGCATACAGTATTGCTACATACACATTTTTTTCTTACCAAAATCAACCAAAACTACCAAAATTTTTTTCAGTAATATTTTTCTACAATGTCAAATTTATTAAAAAATGTAGATAACTTAATATTTAGTAAAACTAAAGGCTGAGATTTCCAATAATGCACCATTTCCTATTTCAGGCAAAGTAAAGGGAATTTGTTAACGAAATTCGCAGGGAGTGTTGAGGAAGTGCTCAATGACCGATATCTTTTAACATTTTGTGTAGCAATGATTACAGTTTTAAAGTTATTTGTTAAAATTTCCTCATTCACACATTTTTTATATAAACACTGCATCAATTACTTTTCGTTAATATATCATTTTTTCCTCATAAACAAATGAATGCACATCGTTTTTTTACTAAATATTTTTATTTATTTATTTCAGTCTTGGAATACAAAATATTCTTACAGACTACACCACTAACACTAAGTGCTACCAAATTTAAAAATTTAAACTAATGTTAAATACATTAAGTTCAAGGTGTGCTTTAAATAAGTTTCTATTCGCAAACAATCTGTAATAGGGAATTTGCATGAGTCGATTTTTCAGGCAACTTTTAGTTGAAAGCAACAATCATGATAAAAACATTACATTCCCACGACAACCGGTTCTACGTACCGGAATGACTTGGGTTTCACCCGACCAAGGGCTGTTGTTTCGGCGATCTAACCCCGTTTAGGTCGGCGAAGTATCTTAGAAGTTGTCCGTCCATAGGGCTACATTCACTACGCATTCTCCTACTCAGGGCTGGCATCGAGTCAAACCCTGGGCCAGAAACATACACCTGCTGTGTATGCCGAAGACGATTACACCACAACTCCACCTCAGTCAAGTGTAATGCCTGCGAGGGGTGGAGTCACCTCAGGGTCTGCTCGGGACTACGGAAACACAGACAGTGGGCCACGTCGTACGTGGCCCCCTGTTGCTCAAATAGAGCTGCCTCCACGGCAAACCATAGTCCGCCCGTGCAGCCCCACACACTCACACAGCAGCCACACACAGTCACCACACACTCACACAGCAGCCACACACAGTCACCACAACACAACAGCAAAATAACACCACAGACCGTACCACAGCCACTACAGACCGCATAACACACACAACCGCACCACCACCCACACGCCGCCGCCAACAACTCCTGGTTCCCCCTACAATCTGCACTGTATGTCAGACCAGGATATTCCGTAATGTGACATCAGTCAAGTGCAACACCTGCCTTGGCTGGTGCCAGTTTAGGGCATGCTCAGGTCTGCGTACCACGCGAGATTGGACGGGGAACTTCGAGGGCCCGTGTTGCGCTGCTCGGTCGCAGTCTCCAATTGCGACGCCCCCCACCACCACCACAGGGCGGCAATCACCTCAGCAGCACACACAGCCAACGGCGGCAAGAACATACACCTCACTCACACCCCACATCACGACACGTCTCCCGAACCACATGAAGCTCCTTCAATTCAACTGTAACGGGCTACAGAGCAAGATTGAGGAGATAACCGTCTTCATGTGTCGGCATGGTATATTAATAGCTGCGGTCCAAGAGACGAAGTTGCACAGCAATTCAACTTTGTTGAATTGCGCCGGGTACAACGTGCACCGTCGAGATCGCGAGCGAGATAATGGTGGTGGCTTAGCGTTCATCACGCACCACACCGTGCAGTATCGTCTTATCGAAGCAGACATCGACCGCAGGGATACCACCCTAGATGTCAGGGCATCGCTATCCGGTCAGGCGATGTCGAGCTCGAAATATTTAACATATACATACCCCCTGTCACCTGCTGCCCGGCAGGATATCACCCTGATATAGGTGCGCTCCTCAGAGGTGAAAACCGTATGGTAGTAGGTGA